TTTAGGTATAGTTGGAGAAGAGGAATAGCTGGGTCAAATGGTGGATCCATTCCCAGCTTTTCAAGGAATCTCCATACTGCTTTCCAAATTGGCTGCAGTAATTTGCAGTCCCACCAGCAGTGTATGAGTGTACTTTTTTCCCCTGCATCCTCATCAACACTTGATGCTGTTTGTCTTCATAATAGCTGCTATTCTTACTGGAGTGAGATGGTATCTTAAAGTAGTTTTGACCTTTTCTCTGATTGCTAGAGATGATGAACATTTTTTCATATATTTGTTGATTGATTGTATATTCTCTTCTGAAAAGTGTCTGTTCAGGTCTTTGGCCCATTTATTGATTGGATTATTTGTTTTTTTGGTGCTTATCTTGTTGAGCTCTTTATATACCCTAGAGATTAGTGCTCTATCTGATGTGTGAGGGGAAAAAATTTGTTCCCAGGATGTAGGCTCCCTGTTCACCTCACAGAATATTTCTTTTGCTGAGAAAAAAAACTTTTTAGTTTGAATCCATCCCATCTGTTGATTCTTGGTTTTAATTCTTGTGCTATAGGCATCTTTTTAAGGAAGTTGGGGCTTAGCCTCACGTGATGAAGGACCTACTTTTTTATCTATTAGACACAGAGTCTGTGGTTTAATTCCTAGATCCTTGATCCATTTTGAGTTAACTTTTATGCATGGTGAGAGATAGGGATTCGATTTCATTTTATTGCATATGAATTTCTAGTTTTCCCAGCACCATTTGTTGAAGATGCTATCCTTTCTCCAGTACATGCTTTTGGCACCTTTGTCTAATATAAGATAGTTGTAATTTTGTGGGTTAGTCTCTGTGTCCTCTATTCTGTACCATTGGTCTACCAGCCTGTTTTGGTGCCAGTACCATGCTGTTTTGTTACTATTGCTTTGTAGTATAGTTTAAGGTCTGGTATAGTGATACCACCTGTTTCACTCTTCCTGCTTAGAATTGCTTTAGCTATTCTGGGTCTCTTATTTTTCCAGATGAATTTCATGATTGCTTTTTCTATTTCTATGAGGAATGCCATTGGGATTTTGATTGGAATTTCATTGAACCTGTGTAGTACTTTTGGTAGTATGGTCATTTTAATAATATTAATTCTGCCTATCATGAGCAGAAGGTAAATCTTTCCATATTCTAAGGTCTTCTTCTCTTTCTCTCTTTAGGATTCTGTAGTTTTCATTTTATAGATCTTTCACCTCTTTTGTTAAATTGATTCCCAAGTATTTTATTTTTTTGAGGATATTGTGAATGAGGTAGTTTTCCTCATTTCCTTTTCAGAGGATTTGTCACTGATATACAGAAATGCCTTTGATTTATGGGTGTTAATTTTATGTCCTGTCACTTTGCTGAATTCATTTACTAGTTCTAGAAGTTTTCTGGTGGAGATTTTTGTGTATTCTAGGCATAGAATCATATCATCAGCAAATAGTGCTAGGTTAAGTTATTCTTCTCCTATAGTTATTCCTTTAATTCCTTTCGTCTGTCTAATTGCTCTGGCCAGTGTTTCAAGAATTATGTTGAATTGAAGTGGTGAGAGAGGGAATCCTTGTCTTGTTTCAGATTTTACAGGGAATGCCTTCAGTTTTTCTCTGTTTAGAATGATGTTGGCCTGAGGCTTAGCGTAGATAGCCTTTACAATGTTGAGATATATTCCTGTTATCCCTAGTTTTTCTAGTGTTTTGAACATGAAAGGGTGCTGTATTTTGTCAAGTGCTTTTTCTGCATCTATTGAGATGACTGAATGGTTCTGATCTTTAAGTCTATTGATGTGATGAATTATATTTATTAATTTCCATATGTTGAACCAACCTTGCATCCCTGGGTTGAATCCCACTTGATTATGGTACACAATCTTTTTGATGTGTTTTTTAATTCGATTTGCCAGAATTTTATTGAGGATTTTGCATCTATATTCATTAGAGATATTGGTCTGAAGTTTTCTTTCTTTGATGTGTCTTTGGAATCAGGGTGATATTGGCCTCATAGAGTGAATTTGGAAGTACTCCCTCTTTTTCTATTTCCTGAAATAGATTGAAGAGTATTGGTATTAGTTCTTCTTTAAAGGTCTTGTAAAACTTAGCTGTATATCCCTCTGGTCCTGGGCTTTTCTTGGTTGGTAACCTTTTGATGGCTTCTTCTATTTCCTCACTTGATATTGGTCTAAGCTGTGTATACCCTCCTGACTCAATCTGGGCAGGTCATGTGACTTTAGGAATTTATTGATACCTTCACTATCTTCTATTTTATTAGAGTATAAGGTTTCAAAATAATTTCTAATTATCTTCTGTATTCCTGTAGTGTCTGTTGAGATATTTCCTTTTTCATAACATATGCTAGTAATTTGGGTTCTCTCTCTTCTTCTCTTTGTTAGCATGGCTAAGGGCTCCTGTCAATCTTATTTATTTTTTCAAAGAACCAACTTTTAGTTTTTGTCAATTATTTCTACTGTTTCTTTTATTTCAATTTCATTGATTTCAGCTCTAATTTTAATTATTTCTTGCCTTCTACTGCATTTGCTGCTGATTTGTTCTTCTCTTTCTAGGGCTTTGAGATGTAGTGTGAGTTTATTTATTTGTTGGATTTTTCCTCTTTTAAGGAATGAACTCCATGCAATGAATATTCCTCTTAGTACTGCTTTCATAGTGGTGTCCAAGAGTTTTTGATATGTTGTGTCTGTGTTCTCATTTACCTCTAAGAATTTTTAAATTTCCTCCTTGATGTCTTCTGTAACCCATTGTTCATTCAGTAGCATATGGTTCATTATCCATGTGATGTAGGAATTTTTCTTCTTTGTTTTATCATTGATTTCCAATTTCATTACATTATGATCAGATAAAATGCATGGTAGTATCTCTACTCCTTTGTATTTGCTAAGGGTTGCCCTGTGGCATAATATATGGTCTATTTTTGAGAAGGATCCATGTGCTGCTGAGAAGAAAGTGTATCCACAGAAAGTGTTGGTTAATTTATTCTATATATGTCAATTAAGTCTAAGTTATTAGTTGTATTATTGAGTTCTATAGTTTCTTTATTCAATCTTTGTTTGAAATATCTGTCCATTGGTGAGAGAGGTGTGTTAAAATCATCCATGATTATTGTGTTGTGGTCTATTTGACTCTTGAACTTGAGAAGAGTTTGTTTGATGAACATAGCTGCACCATCGTTTTATTAATATTAATATTAATGATTGTTATGTCTTGTGGGTGTATGGTTCCCTTGAGCGGTACGTAGTGTCTTTTTTATCCTTTTTGATTGACTTTGGCTTGAAGTCTGTTTTAGTTGATATGAGTATGGTCACCCCCACTTGCTTCCAAGGTCCATGTGAGTGGTATGATTTTTCCCAACCTTTCACCTTCAGTCTGTGTATGTTTTTCCTATCAGATGATTCTCCTGTAGGCAGCATATTGTTGGATCTTTTTTAAATCCAGTCTACTAGCCTGTGTCTTTTGATTGGTAAGTTTAAGCTATTAACATTTAGGGTTACTTTTGAGATATGTTTTGTACTTCCAGCCATATTTGTTTATTTTTGTTATTTAACATGATTTGTTTTTCCTCTTTTATTAGTTTTTCCTTTACTGTACTACCTCCCACTGTTGGTTTTCATTGTTATTTTTCATTTCCTCTTCATGAAATGTTTTGCCAAGGATGTTTTGAAGCGCCAGTTTTCTAGCTGCAAATTCTTTTAACTTTTGTTTATTGTGGAAGGTTTTTATTTCATCTTCAAACCTGAAGCTTAATTTTGCTGGATACAAGATTCTTGGTTGAAACCCATTATCTTTCAACATTTGAAATATGATGTTCCAGGATCTTCTAGCTTTCAGAGTCTGTGTTGAAAAATCAGCTGTTAACCTAATTGGTTTACCCCTAAATGTAATCTGCTTCCTTTCTCTTGTGGCTTTTAAAATTATCTCCTTGTTCTGTATGTTGGGCATTTCATTATAATGTGTCTTGGTGTGGATTTTTTGTGATTTTGCACATTGAGCATCCTGTAGGCTTCTAGGATATGGATTTCCATTTCATTCTTCATGAGGGTCAGATGTAGAACATTATGTTAAGGGGGAAAGATGTGAGGGGATGGAATTAATATATCTTAGCAACTTTGGAGGAGAACTCTTTTTTTAATGAAGGTGGTTATTAGCAGGAGAATAGACAGGAGGTATTTTAGGGTAGACAAGTACGTGGGAGGACAATAAGAAGCATAGAAACAAACACCTATTTGCATTTAGTAAATTACACATAGTAGAAATAGTAACACTTAGGAAGTTGAAAAACGAAGAGAAGGAGGAAGAAAAGTAAAAAGAAAAAAAGAAAAAAGGGGGAAAAGAAATTGAGAGAAAGGGATGAAAAGAAAAGAAAAGGAAAAAAGAGAAGAAATAGATAAAAAGAAAAAAAAGAAAGAAGGAAAAAGGAAAAAAAAGAAAGAGAAAAAATGCACTCTTAAAATTCTGTTTTCTTCTCTTCCAGTAGGTGGGTTTGTGCATTCCAGGTTGGGTCTCTGCCCTCAGGGTGGTGGAAGCAACCTGAGTGAGGCGGCTCTCCCTCACCTTCAGGGTGCCTCTCCAATCCCAGTCTCTCTGGGTTTCTCCTAGTCTCTATCCCTGTCACCTCTCCTGCCCACAAGGCCCCAATTGATGGATCTCTTTTCCACAGCCCTGGGTTCACTCTGGGCAGGCGGTGCCCTGGCCACCTCACGCTCCTGATCAACTGAACGCTATCTCTGTGTTGGGTGGTCACCATGTCATCACAGCTGGGGGGAGGGGGAGTTGGAAACCAGCAACCTGTTCTGTCTATTCCCTCTGATAGCCAGGCCCACCCAGAGTCGGTGAGAAAGGTTTTGGGTTATCACAACTGGGGTGGGGGGGGTAGTTGGAGACCAGGCACCTTCTCAGTTGCACTCAGCTCTGATAGCCACGCCCACCAAAAGCTGGTGAGAACGGTTTTGGATTATCACAGCTGGGGGGGGGGGGGGCTGGGAACCACACACCTGTTCAGATGCCCATCCACACCTGCCAAAAGTTGAGGAGTTTGATTTTCCAAGATGGAGACTGTCTCTTTCCCTCACGGGGGTGTCCGGTGAAGTGGAAAGAGCTGGGCTGTTCCTATGCTATGTCCTGAACTCGGTCTTGGGTCTGGCGTCAGGCACTGAGGCGGTCACAGTCTGAGGTGCTTCAGCCCTGAAGCAGCAATAACCCTGCCTCTCCATGCTTCCAGAAAGCTGCCCCCCAAACTCTGCCATTGGGCTCCAGAAAGGCACTGCTGGCCTGCTTCAGTGGCAAAGAGCAACTCCTCTTTCCCGAGTTCTGCGCTCGTTTGCAATAATCTGCTGTTTAGAATCCTGTCACACAAACCCCGAGAGGCTTAAATTCCTTAATGGGAGCCCCCTTGGGGGAAAACATCCTACTGCTCCCCCAGAGTCACACTCAGAGCAGCCAGTAACAGGTTCTCCTCTCTTCCGCCATCTTGGAATCTCCTTGGAACTTACGTGTAAACCCTTTACATCAGGGTCAACAGGGTACAGCATGTGTAAATAAAGTTTTATTGGAACACAGTCACACTTGTCTGTTTACATACTCAGTTCACTGTAATGACTGAACTGAGCATTTGTGGCAGAGGTCACATATTTGGAAAAGCCTTAAAGTATCTAGTATTTGTTTCTCTGGCGTGTTTACATCCCCTCATTTAGATAATTACAGCCAAGAAAACAAATCATGTGAAATTTTGATTACAACAATATAGTTAGTGAAATTCAGGAAAGAAAAAAAAGAAATTTTATAAAATACATAGGTAATTTATAAATTACGTATGTCTTTATTATATAATCATAAATCTTTGACCCATCAACAGAACATCAAACCATTTATGAAAACAGTCAAATCAGTCATCTTTGACACATTTTGCCAACTTTCAGTCATCTGAAAGTCATAACTTGGCACATATTTTTCCATTTTGTCATTATGAAAGCACATTTTTTTCAAGGTAGAAAATAACTACATATTTTTATTTAATGATTTACTATCTGATTTATAACTTGAAAATGATTAGACCAATGGCATCGAGGTCTCCATCTTCTGCCCCAGGCTCTGCACATGCAGGGGAGAAAACACAAGCGCTGCACTGCACCTGTCACCCAGAGACCTGCTTCTCTTCTGCAGGAATCCCTCACTGGGGGATCTGGGGCGGTTCTCTGTCTTGGACTTCTCCAGAATGAGGTGAGGAACACCTTTTTGTGCTCTCTATGGGCTTCCAGTCTCCTATGGTTGATGCAGATACTTGCTGAGGGGGAATGAAATTGGGGCTGGAACAAGGAGGATCTTTTATGTTTTTCTTCACTCTGACTTTCTGTATTTCATAAAGCAAGTAACAGATTGATCATTAAGGATGAGCATTTCTTAGAGAGCAAGTTTCTCACCCTGGAATGGAAATAATATTTTCCAACATTTTGCCAAGATTTTCAGTTTTCATTTCTTTTTCCTCCTCCTCCAACACAGATGCAAATTTTTTTTTTTTTAATTATGCTTGAAAAGAACTTCCCGTCTACCCTGCTCACCATTTCTTATTCCAGAAAGCCCTAGGGAAAGGTCAAAACTTTTTTTTTCCCTTGGATCTAAATTGAACTCTTAGGCAGAATTTCTTCCTACCAATGTTTTTCTTGACCAGAAAAAAAAAAAAAAGTACAAAGTTTTATTTATTTTCTTACTTTGAAATGTAAATTATTATAGATTTTCTCCAATATTTCTAGATGGGTATGATCTGATCAGAAATGAAGAATTGCATTTTCTCTCTTTTTCTATCCACAGTTCTCCCCAGTCAGACCCCATGTTCATGATGCTGGCCTACTATAGTTGTTGACTGGCAAGCTTGCATTTGCAGAGGGGCACACCTTGCCTAGAAGAAAGTGGGTGCCTGACAGATTCACTGCAAACGTAAATTTACTGCAAAGCTAATGAAGCTTACTTACATCATGAACCCTTGCTTATTTGTGTATGTTCCAAAATGATACCCAAAAGCTTACAAAAGCCATGGCAACGCATTTTTATGGTCACCAACTACCATCTTCTACCATGAAACTATGGCTAACATTCCAGTGAGAGGACTTGAACCCATTGTGAAGACTCACCCAACATGTTGATGCAGAGATCAGAGACTGCATCGTGGTATGGTAGTATCATCATTTGCTATCTCATTTTCTTTGCTCACAATGAGTACTTACTTACATGTCTAATTTTGCAAGTATAATTGTGCTCTTTATTCTAAAATTGATCCTCCAAATTACATAAGGATCTGACCTCATAGATACTTCACTAGATGGAGATGAATCTATATCTCTATCTAAAATCTATATCTATAATATGTATATCTAAAATCACATGAATTTCAATTTATCTGTTACAATGTCTTAATTCTATTAAAAACGTAAAGTATATATGTACTGAAAGAGCACAGGGAATGTAAGGTAATAAATCAAATGGCTGAATCTTTAAAAAAACACTTTGGCATATTGGGAAGATATTGGACAAAACATTGACTTTAGAGTTTGACAGAAATGGTTTTAAATTCTTCCATTTTAGTCATTTAATTTTAGTCATTCTTCCATTTTAGTCATTCCTCAAGTTATTTAATTTTGCTGTGCCTTATTTTGCCCATCTGCAAAATGATGATAATACTTAGTTTACAGAACTATTCTGAGGATGAAATGAGACATTACCTGTATACCATCGAATCAGACTTGATGGGCACACAAAAGGTATTTGAGGAAGGTGTTGGGAGGCAAGGTGCAGGGGTTGAACAAACAGATGCTGAAATCAGATTACCTAGTTTAAGTTCCTGCTCTGCAGCTAGTTAGCTATACAATCCAATCTCAGACAAATTATTAACCTCTCTGTGCCTCTGTGTCCTCATCATTAAAATGGAAATAAAAATGATACCTATATTAGAAGGTGGTTATGAAGATTAAATGAGTAATACTTCTCCAGCACTAAGAACATTGCCTTTGGTACCTAATATGTTATATAAGTATGTATTAAATTGTCAGCTATTTATTTATTGAAAATCTTTATTTCACTAGACCAGAACTGTTCTATTAGGTACATGCTATAGAAGAATAACCAGGGCATTATCTTTGAAAATGTGGGAAGTTTGTTCTAATTAAATCCACATTTCATCGTTCTGGTTTCTTGTAGCCGCAGATTTATAGTCAACTTTTTAAAAGCCAAAGTTTTGAATCTATGGTAACATGTTCTGCTTGTTGCCACACATAAAGACCCCAATTATATCACTTGGTTACTGCCTTCAAAGGTATTTTTGGTAACAGTCGAACAAAAAGAGTTTCAACAAAAAAACTATTGTTTTCTCTGGGATCCAAGAAAGTTTAATTAAAATGCCAACATGATCAAGCAGGCTAAGAATGTTTTCTCATTATTCCAATTAAGAGTCGGTGAGATTTGATTAATATTATTCTGACTGCTCTGGGTTCTGACAGATCCGTATATTTTCATTTAGTTATTCATCTCTAGTATATCCTATTAATTATCTCTCTTTCTTTCTGCCTTTCTCTTCTTCAATAAAATCTTTTTTTTTTTTCCTAATCGCCTCTGGAGCTTTTTCCTTAAAATAGTAAGAATTTTTTTTCTAATGCTATAGTTAATTTTAGTCAAAACTTTAAATACCATTTGGAGTTAATGCATATCTCAGATTCTTCATATAAAAGGAATATGTGAGTTTAAAAACATGGAGCTTTTCCGGGCTTGATATAATTTACTATGTAATTCAGTGTCTACCAGAGAATTAAAATGATTATTTATGTTCCCCAGACTCAGAGAATTAGGGAAACATTGAACTGTGCTGATTTTTTAAAACATACAGTTGGAATTGTTTAGTGATGCTTCATTTGTATGCAGAAAACCTAACACGTATTAAAATAGGTATGAAATTCTGTGTTGATTTCAAGGAAATGAAGGGAAGCCAGTTTATCATCAAAGCTTGTATATTCAATACCCACCCAGAAATTACATAAATGCAGTGCCACGTTTGAAATACTAAACAGACAGAAGTCTAAAATCCAAAGTTACAACTCCCAAAGAAATGATAACTCATTCTTTTATATATTTGGAATATTATATTCCGGGCTTAATATATAATTCCGAGTAGATGTTTAAAATGGTTTTCTTTGGGAAAAATGCCTAGTTAGTGCTCTTTTTCAGCCTGGTAATTGTGCTGGTATTTTAGAATATGTTATTATACCCAGAGGTTTTGGAAATGGTCATATGTTTTATAAAAATATGAATAAATGTGAGAGAGAATTATGCAGCAGTTTTTGCGAAAAACCATAATTCTGAATTGAATGTCTTCTGTGTTTTCAAACCTCACCTGCATAAACATGAAAATAAAATGTGGATTTTAAAAAGAAGGGCCTCTATAATTATATTCTAGATCTTTTATGCACTTAGTTTCATCCTTGTATGTGTGTACATACACATACATGCATTTTTTTGTCTTTCTTATTTCAAAAAATCCATGAAAAATTATATCGATATTAATGCAGAATACATGAAACACAAATTGCACAAAGAGTTCTTGTTTTATTTCTTGGGTTAATTTCTCCTTTTGTTTGTTTATCTCCTGATTTAAGAATTTGAAAGAGAAAAACAGAATATACCTTCTCTTACCCGTGTGCCCACCATCATTATGGCAGGAAGCTATCGAACCTGATTCGTTTCATCCCCAAAGTATAAATTTATGCTCCTGGAAGGGAGTATTTTTGGTAGTGCTTTTATACACAAAATGCTTTACAACTTCATTTACCCAGGCTACATCGAAAAAGATGAAAAGAACTACCATGATTACAAATTATTATAATTTTACATGATAAAGAAAAACCTTAACTTACCCAGCTCTTTATTGATAATGTAAAGAAAGGAACTCTCCATGATGAAGTATGCCTTCTTTAAGACTTGAAAAATTAAAGCTCTTGAATGGCATTAGTGTCAAGAAAAATTCTTCCACTAAGAGAATCAAATGCTGCACCCTGATTCACCCTTCTATACCAAAAGGAAAAATATGATGTGATATGATAATACTGTGATCTTTTTATTGCAAAATGGATGAGAACCAGACACTGCCTGTGTTATATTCTAATCCTCTTTACTGTACTAGGAATCCTTTGCCTAATGTTTCATGTTTAAAGTAAAATGAAGAAAATATACTCTTTTATGGCTGATGACAGACCTCAATGATATAATTCAAATACAATCTTTAGCTAACGTCTGAAGTATAGTGGGTACTCGGCAAATGATAGTTCCTATTCCAAAAGCGGATTTCAAAAAGTTATTTTTTCTATCATGTCTAAGTATGGATGTCTTTTCTTTTTCAGCCCTCAATTTTAGCAATTAAAAAAGTGAAGAGATAACCCTCAGGCTAATGCAAAATATTTGCAAACTAATACATCTAACAA